TGCATTTCAGTGCAATAGTTCAATCCCCATCTACCCCAACATAGCATGGATACATCTCGATTACAAGTTGATGACAGACCATAGCCTACTCCTTGGACTGAAAACAGACAAATGCCCTTGACCGAGTGCGATGACCCCAGTCCTTCTGCACCTGATTAAAGACTACTTCTCTTAGATATCAGACATAGCCTTTTTATTGAAGCATGTGCAGCGTGTTTATTACTTAGCTGCTGCCAAATGCTGTGGGCACAACATTGACATGGAATACGAACAGTGACATGTCTGCTCTTGACTATTTGCTGCTGGCATCTATGACAAGTTACCATCCTTCTGTCTGCTATAAGAAGAAAGGCAAGCCAGAAATGATGAGAGCCTTTAGGTTCTCAAATGAAATGGTGAAGTGCAAAAAGGTAAATGATAGTAGAAATGCTGCAAGCAGCTGAGTTAGTTCAAAGAATATGAGCACTAAGAAAGCAAACTATGAACTGAGATGATTTCTGCAGAGACACAAGAGATGGGTGTGTTCCTATTCAGAGTAACCTGGTAGGAGCATTGCCATGTAAGGTATCCGAGCTGCAAACTGCAGTAATTAAGCGCAGTTGCGTTATCCGAATTAGTTCACAATTGGCCATGACGAAGTGGGGAGGCTGGTGTTTTGCTGATACCATTAAATCTTTAAAAAAAGGAGGAAAAAAAAAGGACATTCTTTCCCCCGCGGCTTTAAGAATCCAATGTTTTCATTCGCCGTAGTGTCCCAAGCTTCTCACCACTGCCCACTCTGAACAAGGTGCCACCCACACAAAATACATCCACTAAGTGAAGGTCTACATCAACTACAGTTCAAAGCACAAAGGTGTAGACACAACCCCTACAAAGATGCAAGTTTATCCAACAGGTACGGCAGACAATCTGAGGGTTATGCTTGGACTGGACCAGTGGCACAGCAAAGTTTAAACATGATGTATGCTATAAATGAGAACACCTAGAGATTTCTATAGGAACTGAGCTTGATGCAAATTCAAGTTATGCAAAAGGGATTTCTGAAAACAATTTTTACCCAACTGTATCAGTTAGACTTTTAAAAAAAAAAAAAATCCTGTCTTCAAGTACAGGAGTGCAAGTACACTGTTTGTTGAAAGTGGCGTCACAGGTGGGTACGCTGATGAAGGTGGCATTTAGCATGCAGGCCTTCATCGGTCAAGGCATTGAGTACAGGAATTGGGACATTATGTTACAGTTGTATAAGCTGTTGGCAAAGCTGCACTTGGAGTATTTTGTACAGTTTTAGTTACCCTGTTACAGGAAAGACATTGTAAAACTGGAAAAATGAGCAAAGAAGACTTGAGGATGTTGTCACAACAGGTAGGCCTGAATGATAGGGAGAGATCAGTCAGAATAGGACTTTATTCCTTGGAATAGAGGAGAATGAGGAGTGACCTTGTCGAGGCGTATAAAATCAAAAGGGGCATAGATAGGATGAATGCATAGTCTTCTGCCCAGGTATGGGGAATTGACAGATGGAGGACATAGGTTTAAGGCAAGAGGGGATAAATTAAAGAAGGACCCGAGGGACAACTTCTTCACACAGAGTGGTGCGTATATGGAATGGGCTGCCGGAGAAAGTGGTTGAGGCAGGCACAATAGCAACATTCAAAAAATATTCAGACAGTTACACAGATGAGAAGGGTTGAGGGGGATATGGACCAAATGTGGGCAAATTCGAACTAGCTGAGTGAGCACTATGGTCAGCATGGACCAGTTTGGGCCAAAAGGGCCCATTTCCACGCTGTATTACTCTAAGAATTTAAGTTGCTCTTATATTCATCATTTCAAAGATGTTTAATCACCCAAAACAATTAATAAGCTTAATCCTCCCTCAATCTTGGCCCTCTGGCTTTCTACAAACTTCAGACAATATTTAACAAATTAACAACTAAACTGGATCAGAGATAGTAGGAACTGCAGATGCTGGAGAATCTGAGAGAACAAGGCGTGGAGCTGGATGACCACAGCAGGCCAAGCAGCACCACAGGAACAGGAAGGCTGACGTTTCGGGCCTAGACCCTTCTTCAGAAATGGGGGAGGGGAAGGGGGTTCTGAAATAAATAGGGAGAGAGGGGACGATGGATAGAGGAGAAGATAGGTCAGACAGGCGGGGATGGAACCAGTAAAGGTGAGTGAAGGTGGGGAGGTAGGGAGGAGATAGGTCAGTCCAGGGAGGACGGACAGGTCAAGGGGGCGGGATGAGGTTAGTAGGTAGGAGATAGGGGTGGGGCTTGAGGTGGGAGGAAGGACAGGTTAGGGAGGCGAGGACGAGCTGGACTGGTTTTGGGATGCGGTAGGGGGAGGGGAGATTTTGAAGCTTGTGAAATCCACATTGATACCATTGGGCTCCAGGGTTCCCAAGCGGAATGGAGTTGCTGTTCCTGCAACCTTCAGGTGGCATCGTTGTGGCACTGCAGGAGGCCCAGGATGGACATGTCGTCTGCGGAATGGGAGGGGGAGTTGAAATGGTTCGTGACTGGGAGGTGCAGTTGTTTAGTGCTAACCGAGTGTAGGTGTTCTGCAAAGCGGTCCCCAAGCCTCCGCTTGGTTTCCCCGATGTAGAGGGGGTCACAACAGGAACAGCGGATGCAGTACACCACATTAGCAGACGTGCAGGTGAACATCTGCTTGATGTGGAAAGTCTTCGTGGGGCCTGGGATGGGGGTGAGGGGGGAGGTGTAGGCGCTAAACTGGAGCAGGATCTATACTGATCTGTGGACAAAACTTCTGGTCACATTATCAGAAGGAGCGATTGCACTGAAAGGGTTACACGAGATTTAGGAGGACGTTGTCAGGACTGGAAAATTATGGCTATACAGAACAGTTGCAAAGGAGTAAGGTAAGGGATATTTAACCGAAGAAGTGCATAAAAAATGAGGGGTCGAGATGTTTAGGAAGGATCCAGTTTCCATAACCAATTGCTTAATAACCATGTGTGTAGATTAATGTAATTGATAGAATGATTAGAAGAGAAACAAAGAAAACCTTTTGCCCAATTAGTGACAGAAAATCCGGAACCTATCAACTATACAGGGTGCTAAAGGCAGAAATCTGCCTCGTAACTGAAAAGCACTCAAGATATGCATGGAAGTCCTGTAAACCAAGAACTCGAAGACTGGACAGACTGGTTAGTTCTTCTGTTAGCGCGGACGCACGTTCGCACACGGCTGAGTGACCTTCTTCTGTGCTGTGAATTTCAAGGATTCTATGACAAATCCAAACTCACTTCTACATATTTCAACATGCAAATCAATGCATTAAAATGAATACTCATAGTAAAATTACAGTAACCTGTTACAGGAAAGCCTACAAAATCAGACAAACAATAACGTGACTCAGTGCAAAAATAACAAAACTAAAATCATCTAGACATAAATCTGATATCTGGATTTGACAGTTAAAAGAAATCCACAAGATAAATCAAACAAACCAGATTCATGACAAAATTTGCTCCAGATGGGCAGACCCAATTCTAAATCAGTTACGAGTGGTGTACCTCAAGGATCTGTTTTGGGGCCACTGCTGTTTGTCATGTTTATAAATGACCTGGATGAGGGCGTAGAAGGATGGGTTAGTAAATTTGCGGATGACACCAAAGTCAGTGGAGTTGTGGATAGTGCGGAAGGATGTTGCAGGTTACAGAGGGACAAAGAAAAGCTGCAGAACTGGGCTGAGAGGTGGCAAATGGAGTTTAATGCGGAAAAAAGTGTGAGATGATTCACTTTGTATTCCTGTTACTCCTTCCAGAGTACTGGGCTAATGGTAAGATTCTTGGTAGTGTGGATGAGCAGAAACATCTCGGTGTCCATGTGCATAGATCACTGAAAGTTGCCACCCAGGTTGATAGGGTTGTTAAGAAGTCGTACGGTGTGTTAGGTTTTATTGGTAGAGGGATTGAGTTTCGGAGCCGTGAGGTCATATTGCAGCTGTACAAAACTCTGGTGCGGCCGCACTTGGAGTATTGTGTGCAGTTCTGGTCACCGCATTATAGGAAGGATGTGGAAGCATTGGAAAGGGTGCAGAGGAGATTTACCAGGATGTTGCCTGGTATGGAGGGAAGGTCTTATGAGGAAAGGCTGAGGGACTTGAGGCTGTTTTCGTTAGAGAGGAGGAGGTTAGGAGGTGACTTAAGAGAGACATCCAAGATGATCAGAGGATTAGATAGGGTGGACAGTGGGAGCCTTTTTCCTAGGATAGTGGTGGCTAGCACAAGGGGACATAGATTTAAATTGAGGGGTGATAGATATAGGACAGATGTCAGAGGTAGGTTCTTTACTCAGAGTAGTAAGGGCGTGGAATGCCCTGCCTGCAAAAGTAGTAGACTCGCCAACTTTAAAGGGCATTTAAATGGTCATTGGATAAACATATGGATGATAATGGAATAGTTTAGGTTAGATGGGCTTCAGATTGGTTTCACAGGTCGGCGCAACCGAGGGCCGAAGGGCCCGTACTGCGCTGTAATGTTCTATGTTCTATGTTCTAACCCATCACCAAGATCACGGCTGAACCAATAATCCTCAACTCCACATGACCCTTGATTCACTTACTGATTAAAAAGCTGTCTATTTAAGACCATAAGAGCTAGGAACAGAAGTAGCCTCTCAGGCCATTGCAAGGATGAATGGATGAATTCCTGAGAGCTACATAAAAGGTGACAACATTACACGTCACAATAAACTATCCCTCTTGCACGTACAATAGTGGGACATCCTTGCATAAGTTAGCACTGAAACAAATAGGGACTGGCCCTGAATACAAGTCTGACCAAGCATCAAGGACTTTAAGCAGGTTGTGGAATTACTCTGCATGACCGCAATCTACAAACCTCATATGAAAGCTTTCCATAAAAAAATACCAAGAGTGATTAAATATTTGGGAATGACAAAAACTATTTTCCTTGTATCAAATTAATATTACAAATCTTATACTTTAAAAAAAAAGGGTAAAGAACTTACTTTTGCAATTTTTCCCATGTCTTCCAGAGTTGCTCTTTCATTATCAAACTGTGTGTAGGCATTTTCGATCCTGGCAATAAGTGCATCTACATCAAGGTTTCTTTTTGGACAACCTTGAGGGAAATAAAACTTTGGAATGCACTCACTCAGAGCTGGAGGCAAGGGGTTCTCCTTTTTTGCTTGAACCTGCAAGAAATAAAACATTCAGCATTTAGCTTAAAATGCATGCAACCAAGTCAGTCATTAAGCCATCAAATTTGCTGTTTTCACAGACCATCGACAATCCAGCCTATAACGAACTCTATCCCAACATCTTAACACCCAAGGAAAGTTTCTGCATAAAACTTGCCAGTTCTCCCTAGTTCAGTGCGATTATGTCATTCTTCACAGCATGACACTTGGCTCAAATCCCATCCCAGAGTCAGCAGCATCAAAACTAGGCCGAGATGCCAGTGTATTAGAGCAGTGCTGAATTGTCGGATGCGCCAAATTTCAGATGAGATATGTTTAACTATGGCTTAATCTGGTATTTTGGGTAAAAGACAAAAACAGATGATGTTTTCTTTGAATCATGCTAAGGTGTGTTATAACTAGTAGCCTGGCCAATATTTATTTCTCAATCAAAATAAATGAGATTTCTGGACATTACATTGTGGTATATAGGATTTTATGCAAATTAGCTGCAGCATTTTTACACTAGTTCAAAAGTACAGTCTTACTTGATTGTGAAGGAGTTTGGAAAATTTAAATGCCACAAAAGGCATTAAGGATAGCTATGCCTTGAAGAACCACAAAAGTATTTTTTAAAAACGTAAAAGATTGAGAAACACTAACAAAATTTAGTCCACTAAGTGGATTGTGAATTCTTCCAATCCTCTATGATGCTTCTCCACTATTACTTTATGACTGGTTATCATTTACGGGCACAGGTGCCCATCATCCACTACTGACAGCATCTTGAAGAATTTTAAGCTAAATGCTAAATGTTTTATTTCTTGTTTAATGATCCACCTATTCACTTACACTTGACAAATTGACAACATTCCTTGGAACACTTAGCATCCAGGTGAAGCTTAAAGAACTAATGTTTAAACAAACATATTTCACATCCATGCACTCTTCATATTTTAACATGACATGGAGGTTCCATGCATAAACAGTATATACAATTTCCAATAAAGAGACTTCAGAAAGAGAGAAATGGTACTGTTGCAAGGTATTTACAATCTCTATTATATACCAGAGTTGGATCTGGACCACAACTGTAATACTGCAACAAGCACAGAATGTAGGCAAACAAAACACTTTCAACATACTGGATAGCAAGCGCTCTAAGGAACATGTAGAAATGCTAAGTATTCTCAAATAAAGAGAAATATCATACTTCCTACACACATTGTTTGGAAAATTCAATGGTTTATATTATTTTCTTCTTTCCTTTAAATACAAAGTATAGTGTACTGAAACTGGAAGTGGCTGAAAGAATTCCGGAGATCTAAATAGGAACTCAGCAGCAGAGCAGGACAACCAATATGATGATGATTGGAATGTGGGGTAAATCGGTTCAGTCCATTCCTGATAACCTTTCATTCCTTGAATACCAAAGGATCTGTCTACCTCTGCTTCCACTAACGTTTGAGCAAGACTGATGGCACTCAGAAATAAATTTATCTTTATCTAGTCTTAAATGACTCCTTAGTTCTGGATTTTCCTGCAAATACCCTTTCCACATGTATCCCATCCAGACTGTGCAGATCTTTCATTTCAATCAAATCACTTCTTGCTCCAAGCCTTGTAGGTACAGGCACAGCCTGTCTAATGTTTCCTCATAAGATAACCGACCCAAAAAAACATTCTTAGAATTGCTCTCATTGCAGTTACGTCCTTCCTTAAAACAAGGAGGCCAGTATTCCACACAGTACTCCAGATGTGGTCTTACTACTTACTAACACCTTGTACAACAGAAGTGTGTGTGTGTCATAGAGTCATAGAATAATACAGGATGGAAACAGGCTCTTTGGTCCAAAAAAGTGGTCCAGCTGACCATGGTGCTCACTTAGCTAGTTCCAACTGCACTGAAGTTGCCCCTCAGGTCCTTCTTAAATATATCCCCTCTCCTTTAAACCTATGACCTCTAGTTTTCAATTCACCACCCCTGTGAAAAAGGGTATACACATTCATCCTATGTCCCTCATGATTTTATACACCTCAATAAGGTCACCCCCCATTCTCCTCCGTTCCGAGGAATAAAGTCTTATCCTGGCCAACTTCTCCATATAACTCAGGATTATTAGACCTGGCAAGAACCTAGTAAGTCATCTTTGCTTACTTTCCAGTTTAACTATGTCTTTTCTATAACGGTGACCAAAACTGTACACAATACTCCAAGTGTGGCCTCACCAACAACTCACAACTGTAACATAACGTTCTAACTCCTGTACTCAATGCCTCAACCAATGAAGGCCAGAATGCTAAATGCCTTCTTCACCACACTGTCCACCTGTGATGCCACTTTCAACGAACTGTGTACTTGTCCCTCTGTTCCACAACACTCCCCAGGACATTACCATTTACTGTACAAGTCCTACCTTGGTTTGACTTTCCAAAATGCGATACTTCACACTTCTTTATCTCTTATATTCAAGTCCCTATGCAATAAAATTAGAATATTCCACTAGCTTTCCTAATTAATTACTCTATGCATAACAACCTTTCACGATTCATGCACAGGGACACCCAGATCCTTCCGCTTCTCAGGGCTCTGCAATCTTTGACCATTTAAAATAACATTAGATATTCTTCCTGCCAAAACGGACAACTTTGCATTTTCTTACATTTCAGTCCATTTGTTAGATCCTTGCCTCCAGGTATCACATTTGAACACACTGTCCATCCTTGTATTATTTTCTTTTCACAACTCACTTTCATACTTCTCTTTGAGTCATTAACAAATCTAGGAGCCTTAAATTTTGGTCACTTCTTCCAAGGTATTTACAGACAACTGTAAAATGTTAAACTCCTAGTACTGATCCTTGTGGCACACCACAAACACCCACCTTGCAAACAAGAAAATGACCCATACAAGCCATGTTTCCTGTTAGCTAACCAATCTCCTATCCATGCCAATACATTATCCTCCACATCATGACCTTGTACTTTCTGCAATAATCTTTGATTTAGCACTTCATTAAATGCCTTCTGGATTTCTAAGTACAGTACATCCACTAGTTTTTCTTTTACCTCCAGCATATTACGTCCTCAAAAGAAGTTTAACCAGTTTATTAAAACATTTTCCTTTCACAAAACGCCAATTACCTTGAACTTTAAAAGGGCCCGACTGTAATGCCTTCAATGGCTTCTAACATTGCCCTTGTGACCTAGTTTATCTATTAAAAATTAAAACTAAACATCAACTATTTCACTAGCGACTTCTTTTAATTTCCTAGGATGAAGTTCATCAGGGACTTGTCTGCCCAGAGCTCCAAGATTGCTTAATATCTAAGTGCTTAGTAATTCTAATTTTCTGGAGTTCCCTCCATCCCTTCCATTTCCCGATTTACAGCTATTTCTGAGATGTAACTTTTATCCACTATAGTGAAGGCTGATACAAAATACCTGCTAAATTCATAGTTATGCATGTATATAGCACCGTCAAGGCAACAAAATTTTTTGAACTGCCTGATAAAGACAATAGGCAAAGTTAAAATAGGACTTGGATTTCTACATGGTCTTTAGTGTAGAAAAATGGTTGCAGAAATCTTGCGCTTCAAAGCGGAAAGGAACAATGAATGGCGTATCAACCTTTCCCTGCTTAGGGATAGTGATGTATGGATATTTACAAAGCAATGGGTGGGGAAAGAAGAAATAAATTTATATAAATAGATCTGCAATTTGAAGACAGTCAATACGCAAAAAGATTCTTGTGTCACAGAGCAAGTATAACACACTGCAAACTTCCCAACAATTCTTCAGCTGCTGGAGGAACGGACAATGTATTCTGCAATCCGATTCCATATCGGGTAACAACAGACAGCTGTCTGCAATGGCAAACGTCCAGTTTCCTATTTGCACTGCATATGCACATCAAAAAAGTATTTTCTTTTCTCCAGCGAAATGCCAGATAAAATGTTAAGTGAGATAATTTCCTAGGAGGTTTAGGGATTATTTACAAAAGAAAAAAAAAACATGCTCCCTGTAACTTGGAAGAGAAGCAGCAAGTTTTAAGTCTAGCCTCCATTCCTCCCTCCCCAAAAGCATCAATATCAGATCAACATTTCATTTGTTTTTATTCCTTTTAGATACAAGGATCATCATCAACCACTGTACACGGCCCTTCTTCACCTCTCAAAAAGTTCAGAAGGTTTGGAATATCCTCCCCAAGTTGGACTGCCCTCAGAAATTTATCACCATTCTCTGTATACTTGTGGATGATATGATCCTCATCAACAGGAATACCACTGAGCCACCTCGGTAAAAACTGGAGTCAAAGACAACTGCACCAGTGCAAATACTGCACTTCACCACCAGCGAATTAAATCACAAGCACATAGATACATTTACACAACACATTGTTCAAAATATATTCCTTCAATGTAAAGTCAAAAGAACTCCCAACCTCTGTCACAGCTTCAGATGTTGCTTTTGTGCATGCTCATTAACTCCAATACTCCACAGTAGTCTACAGATGGTGTGGTGGTTGTATAATGGTAATGTCACTGGACTAAATCCAGCTCTGGGAATAAAAACAAAGTGCTGGAGAATCTGCGATAACAAGGTGTAGAGCTGGATGAACACAGCAGGCCAAGCAGCATCAGAGGAGCGGGAAAGCTGACGTTTCGATGGGGGAGGGGAAGAGGGGGATAGGATAGGGATAGGGATAGATGGATGGAAGGTGGATTGGTCAAACAGTTTCAGGGCCGAAGAGATTACCAGAGGGTTGCAGTGGGAGACAGATCAACCAAGGTCTTTCCGGTGGGAAGAGGGTAACTTCTTCAAGGTAGGCATCCTTAGAAGAGGCTTCGCAGTGGGGTTAAAATTGATTCAGAGATAGTAGGAACTGCCGATGCTGGAGAATCTGAGATAACAAGGTGTAGAGCTGGATGAACACAGCAGGCCAGCCAGCAGAGGAGCAGGAACGACGGACTGCATTCACGCTCTCTGCTCAGATTCTCCAGCATCGGCAGTTC